CTCCTATTTAATTGGGCTCCGTCTGTTTGGCGCGCAACTGTACTGTACACCTTGTCACATAGCAGCTTTTAGGCATTGCTCTGTTTTTTGATATAAGTCGGAAATGACAAGTATTGCGACAGGTGCTCGTATCTCTTTCTCAAGTTCTGCTTAATCGTATATGCAACAATTTTCTGGGTGAGTTTGTTTTTATTATATGTAATAAATCGGTGTTGTAGTCTGTAATATTAAGTCAGCAAATGTACACAAGTGCGTTTTAGAAAGTCGGAAACAACAGAGAAAGCAAATAATATATTTGAATATCAAAAGTCTACTAGCAGTAACATTTGAGTTTATGTTTATATATATTTTTAATTATGTTATAATATCACCCATTAACCTGTTCCAGTGCTCTTGACCCCACCCTCCTCCTCGAATGATTCTTCTATACTGTGGCATTATGGGTTTGCTACTTACTGAATTATCGATCTTCTTAGTAGAGTAACTTGCTGTCGAACACATTAGATGTTGTTATGATCTTGCAATTGATTTATTAATAAATATCTGACGTCGCTGTAGAAAATATTAAGTGAAAATTGTAAATTATAGATAGGCTATTGCTATACAACACTTTAAATAGCAACAACTTTGTTGTTAAATGTATGTGTTCATTTGTACAAAAAGCAATAAATAAATAGCATTGACTTTAAAAAGAGGTAGATAGAAACTGGAACAGACTTTTTTTAGTGGTTTGTGGTTATTTTGCTTCTTTTATTGATTGCAAGATTATCAGATGACCAAAATACTGAATGTGGTCATACTGTGCAAAGTTTTACCCTTAAAAAAAAACCTCTGACCCTTATCTAGCATGGAGTCAAAGGCCATTAAAACCATCACTCATATTTCATTTGCACATAATCATTATTACTCCGCTCAAGATGAGCAACATACATTGTTCATTATGTGTTAAAAATTTACCAAATGAGAACTTTCTTCCATCTTCATGAACAGATTCTTTCTTCTTTTGTCTTAAGTATGAAGTTTGTTTGCTATTTATAAGACCTGCAATTATAAGGTCAAGCTTGTTTTGAACCCAGGATTACAATAAATTCACGAGGCAAGTGTAGTTTGATTGGCCCTGAAATGAAATTAGGATAAATCCTCTGAGTATACTTTATAAATTAAGATTATAATATCAAACTCATAGCGCTACACTCTCAGAAAAAAGAAAAAAAAAAAGGTACCAAACTGTCACTGTAGCAGTGTCCTTTCCAGAGTTACTAATATGTTCACTTGGTGCTAATACTAATATGTACCATTTATGGGTAAATAAGGTAATATTTAGTAACTAATATTATAGATACACAACTATCTCTCTCTCTCTCTCTCTCTCTATACATATATATATATATATAATTGTACTGTACTTTAAGTCATTAGTGAATATTCCAGGGCTTTTAATTCAGAATATTATTTTCAAGCATGTATTTCTCTTATTTTAGTTTTCAAGTTACCTAATACTCTTGTTTATTGTTGTCAGCCTGTGACTTACCAAAAATAAACTAGAGAGTAATTTGGGGTTATATAAGACCTGATATTTGCAGTTTTAAATTCATTTGACAGTTCAAACTCGGATCTGATTAAAATTCTAAATGGAAATCCAGATTATAATTACAATGCAATGTTTGTTTTATTCATTTTAATTTACTGTCTGCATTTGTTTCTATTCTCCACATTTGATATTATTTATTCACTAGACTGAGTTTCCTATTGTATAAATTATTTTACATCATCTTTGCATAAACTCTCATAATAATCTTTTATATACATTTCACAATTGTGCCATTAATGTATTATTTATACTGTTTTATATATGCAAATAACGTTATTGACATTTGAAAAAGATTATTGTGAGTAAAAGGCTGGTGTCAAAGCTGCTCTATGTGACAGCAGAGGTTTGAAATGCTACGGGCTGCACCATTGTGCTTCTCTCCCTGTTTTCTGTCAAGAGCAGGTCTGCACATGTTAAACCCATCACACTGACAGCGTAAACAATGGGCCCCATAGGACCCCATTTCAGACCATTATGCCACCAGCCGAGGCTCTTGGTGGCCCATTGGCACCAGTATTAGGCTGACCCAGCGCACACTTTGTGCTGCTTTCATCACAGGTTTCACAAGAGACCTGGTGCACGTGCCTCACACAGGGCTGCAAGGGTGAATTATTATGTGTGGATGGCTATTCTGCTCAAGAAGACAAGGGAGTACATCTGTTCTTACCATCTCTGTTGATTAATGTGCACTCATGTTGATTGGTAAAAGGCATTCTGAAGTGCACTGTGTCTTATTTTCTTTAATGCTTACACCTTGCTTGACTTGTGCTAACTTTACAGATTGGCTTAATTGCAGTTTTGGATGTTTGGAAATAGTTTTTGAATTGTAGCTATATATTTACAGATGTATGTGCTAGAGATTTTGTAGATTTCAGGACACTCTTTGTTTTCATATACATTTTAAATAATGTTTAAGCAATGTGTTTTGACATAAAGGTGCATGAAAATGAATGGATTATAAGTTATGAGCACCCAGATGGAGCCAGCTTCAACCCGAGAGAATTTCTGTTGAAATGAGGTGGTGGTCTCGGACTCCATCAGCATTTATGCCTTCAGTCTTTGTAGTTGACAAGACATTTCTTGTTTCTGTTTTCTTTTTTTCCCCCAATCTTTCAATATCTCATGGAATTAGTTGTTGTCATTTATGTTTTAACTAATAAATATAAAAATATATAAAATATTTAATATAATATATAAAATAAAATAAAAAAACATTATAACGTTTTGTGGTCTTCTGAAATGGCCTGAAGTGGCCTTCCAGAGAGGACTTTAATTCTTTTTGCTTTGCTTCTCTTCATTTATTTATTTAGTTAGTTAGTTATTAAATTCATGTTTCATTTACAGATCTAGGTTAATCAATGCTACCATGTTGTTTTATATGTTTGTAAAATTATTAAAATTAATTCACATCAAATTTTTATTAACTTACACTACTGTTCAAAAGTTTGGGATCAGTAAGACTTAAAAAAAAAAAAAAAAAAAAAATTTGAATTTTTCCAAAAGACATTTACAACATTAAGCAGCACAAATATTTTCAACATTGATAATAATAAGAAATGTTTGGTGAGCAGCAAATCAGCATATTAGAATGATTAGTAATGATGCTGAAAATTCAGCTTTGCCATCACAGGAATTAATGACATTTTAAAATAAATTAAAATACAAAACAGATATTTTAAATTGTAATAATATTTCACAATATTATGGGTTTTATTTTTGATCAAATTAATGCAGATCAAATTAATGCAGAGCATATAAGACTTCCTTCAAAAACATTTAAAAAAAAATGAATGTGGTAGTGTAAGTTAACATTTAATTATATGTTAATAGTTTTATATTGCTTCATAATAAAAAATACAGTAACACGCTTTTGTTTATTTTAAACACTACTGCCTGTTGTTAACTGTTATGAATAGCCACCTTCTTTTTTTAGCCCATTAGTCCCCAAACCCTCTGTAAACTTATGATGATGGTAGATACGGAGGTGGACCTGTAATTTAACCGAACTGAATAGACCTTCATTAAATCCTGATCACCCACAGGTCATTTCATGTTTCAACTTCATTTCAATTTGGACAAGACTAAAAGTGGTATGAATGGGCGAGTCGATTACTCTGTAATTAGTCCATTAATTTCCACCAGTTTGACCTGTTTGCACCCCCCGCACATTCATACATTTTAGCTGCTTCCCTCTGAAACTTGACCCACTGATGTCACTGTTGAATAGTACAGTATCATTTTAGAAAAAAATGTGATTTACACACTTTGAGTTTATAATATTTACTTTGTTTTATTTATGCACTGCCAATTATTTTCTCATCTGAATGCTTTTGAGGAGGCATCCCATGAAAAACAACCCGGTACATACCGATGATGCCTCCATTCATTTGAGGAAAAAGATTAAAACTTATCCATACAGACTACATGCTGGTGTGATGTTGAATGAGAAAGGAATGCATTTGCACCAACAAATGTGTTGTAAAGCCCATATGCACACAGACATGTTCACACACACACAAACACACACACACACACACAGTGAGTTAACAGATGTGGAGTGGTTTTACTGCAAAAACCAGGGCAGCATTACATTGTTTATTATTTGATTATGCCATTAAGCCATGTCACTGGAGCTCAGTGTTTGTTTCTCAGAGTTACAGAAGTTAATTTGCTGTTCTATGTCAGTTTTGCACAACTTCATCTGAATATACTTCTCCTAGATCTACTTTATAGTACTTTTCATTGTGACACAGAAATGCTTTGGGGTTCACACCACATGCTTTAATTCTTCAATTAGTTAACCACAGCTCTGATCAGTAGAGTATGATAATATAGAATATATCCAAATGGAAATCACACTCGGCGCACTGAGTGCCATTAAGATTCAAGGTTAGAATACATTAACTCAGGAGGTTTCACATAGCTCTACTTTGCTCTTGTTTGAATCATAATACCTTTAAATATAAAAAACATACGGAAGAATATACTCCTAGATTCAGTAATGTGGTTTGTTGAGGCCCTGAATGTGACTAAACATATTTTATGTACTCTTTTGTGTTGTTTTGAACTCATGTGCCTTTTTAAATGTACTAATATCGCTAAAATTGTGATATTCATCCCATCTGTGATGTAATTTTGCATTAAACCCAAATGGTCTGATTTGTGATTTGTTTTAGCTGATAGGGGGCTTTATTTTGGCCATCGGCATTTATGCAGAGGTGGAGAGTTTTGTATTCACTGGTCCATCTGCCTTGTGAAAAATTCACTGGGTGCTGTACATGCATAGACAGACTCACTGCCCACATAGGGCAGAAATTGAGGCGTGTGACTGTTTCATTTGTTTCTGAGTAATGTGCGTGTGTCTCTGTTTCACTTGAGATCCACTGTTTACTGTTGCCTTGCAGTTTCTTTACATGCTGGCTCTCTGTCTCATTTTGGAGCTCGCCAGTGGGATTCTTGCTTTGATCTTTAGGAGACAGGTACAGTCATTTTTATCTCCTTTCTTGTTGCATGTAAAATGTTCTTGACAAATCCCTTCCTTTATAATAAGAAAGGTTTTTTGATGTAAATTTCCAAGTGGAAGACTGTGACATGGGTCACAAAAAGAAATGTATACATACAGTATTTTATAGTCATTAGCCATGCAATTGTTGGCAGTTTCTTTGTTATTCATTTCATTGGGCTAATGGGATCCATGCTAATTTGAAAAAGATAATTATGAGTACTGTTACATGGCTGCTGGGTCATGACTGTTTTCTGATTAGATGAGGTTGTATTTCAGCGTCTGCTGAATGTGGAAATTTGTTTAACAAAATAATTTTGATGCCAGAGCATATTTACCATTTGAGATCCACTGTTTACTGTTGCCTTGCAGTTTCTTTACATGCTGGCTCTCTGTCTCATTTTGGAGCTCGCCAGTGGGATTCTTGCTTTGATCTTTAGGAGACAGGTACAGTCATTTTTATCTCCTTTCTTGTTGCATGTAAAATGTTCTTGACAAATCCCTTCCTTTATAATAAGAAAGGTTTTTTGATGTAAATTTCCAAGTGGAAGACTGTGACATGCGTCACAAAAAGAAATGTATACGTACAGAATTCAGTATTGCAGTATTTTATAGTCATTAGCCATGCAATTGTTGGCAGTTTCTTTGTTATTCATTTCATTGGGCTAATGGGATCCATGCTAATTTGAAAAAGATAATTATGAGTACTGTTACATGGCTGCTGGGTCATGACTGTTTTCTGATTAGATGAGGTTGTATTTCAGCGTCTGCTGAATGTGGAAATTTGTTTAACAAAATAATTTTGATGCCAGAGCATATTTACCATTATTGTGAACTTAATTTCAATCATATTTTTAAAAAAAACTAATTGTACCAGTCCTCAGATATTGCCGTTTTTTTTAAAGTTTATTTCTAACTGCTTCAAAACAAATGAAAGGAACAACAAAGGCTCAACATCCCGTGTTAAAAGAAATCAAACATTTTGTTGCAAAAAAACAAAAAATTCCTGTTATAACACTGACATTCCTTTGTCCAATAGACAGAGGACCTTCTCAACAAAAACATCCGTAAAGGCATGGTCAATTACTATGATGACCTGGATTTCAAAAACATCATGGACTTTGTTCAGAAAACGGTAAGAGATTTGTCATGGACACATGAAAGGTGCAGATTTAATATGCTGACTTTTTAAGACTGCATTGAATGTATCTTTGAACTTGATCTGTCAGCAAAGTTTCACATTAAGAAACTATGAAGGCCCAGACCTCTCTGCATGCATTCACTCTGCATTGCTGTTGGCGAACCCATTCTGTTTAAAATTGGTTGAATTTCAAACTAAATTTTCTTTAATTGTTGCTGAAAATAAAAGAAACTGGTAATGTGAAAATCTTTTTTTTTAAATTTTTTTTAATTTTTTTATAAAGATTTATATTTTTTATAATTAAAAAGCATGTGTAATCATTTGAATTTATTAAAATGTATTAAATTATTTATGTATTTATTAATTTATTAAAATACAATAATAATGCCATATGAAATTCTAAATTCTATTGAATTTTTCTAGATTGTTTTAATACATTTAATACAAATGTATGCTGTAATGCAAATTTATTGTAAAGAAATTATTAATTTAATCAATCTTTTAAAGATTGAAATAAAATGAAAATAGAACGGTTCCTTTTTTCAACAAACAATTATTATTTTTTTTTTTTTTATAAATAAAGGGCTTTTTTCTTTTTAATTCTGCCATCATTTTTTCAGGTTCAACAAAACTTTAATTTTTGCAGTTTATAATTAAGACCTTTTAGAGAATTTATTTGCAGATAGATTTTATCAAGTGAAATGTTAGTGAAATTAAATCTCAGAACATCTCTGGAGATGAAGTTCATGTGGATGTCCTCGTATAGTCAGTAGATGCTGAAAAAACCATGAGCATCAATGACTTTGGACTATTTTCCAAATTCCATGACTTTCTGCTTTATAAATTCTGTTTTAATGACTGGATAATGCAATTCAGTCTGTGTTTTCCATGAAAAGAGGCCCTATATTCAGATGAAACTCAGATGTAATGCCAATTCAAATGTGCTTTTTTTATGACCATTAATTAGGTAACAACTCTTTGAGTGCATTCAGAAGTAACACATGAGAATGACTCTGTACCAGTCCACCGGCTGCACAACCTCATCCTGAGCATCTGCATGTACCTGTTTAATATGAGCAATTACAGCGAGCTGTTTCAGCAGTGCTCAGTTATGCACGGAAATATTACAGCAATTTCATTTTATTTACAAGATCCTTTTTGACTTGACTTTAAAGAAACTAATTGGAGCTGTGCCTCTAAGAACAGTCAGTTTCAAGTAATCATTCCTCACACTGTGATGGTCGAAAGGAAAAGGTTTAGCACATTCCATTTGGTCCATTGTTAAGATAAAGGGATTATTTTTCTGGTTAAACCACCTTCAGTGCCTGTCACAGCAGTCTTTCATTGTGGTTTGAATGTTTTTTTTATTCTTCCTTTTTTTTTTAGTACTTGAAATTCCTTCTTTCTTTTTTTTCTGTCAAACAGTATCCCGACAAGCTCAACATGACACAGTGGGTATTCGTTTCTGCTTCACAGGATAATTATCTTGAATAAGATTCCAAATCATAGAGGGAATATGTGTTCAATCTGAAGGACAATGAAAACATCACAGGGATCAAGTCTACATCGGAATATCAATTGACAAGATTTAGAGAGAGAAAGAAACTTGACAGTCATTTTGCACATCACACATTTTGGCTAAAATAAGCAGTAAAAAGTAATTCTGTTATTCTATTCAGCTTAAGTCATTGCTGACGTAGTTTCTACATTGTTCACACTAATTTTCGTGGATCAAGTATTGTCTGTATCGGGCAACGTTGAAATACGTTCCAAATGAGCAAGTTCTCTCTGGCTACTGTGTCCAGTGGCTTCATACCCAGTGGTCTTGGTCATTCCTCATTTATTTGTTTTGTGACCGACGTCCCACGCTGCATTAGTTTCTGTCTGCCTTCTGCAGTAGGATATAATCAAACAATTATGCTCTTTGTTTTCCTTAAGCTTATTGTCATAATAATTCTTGGACATCAGTATGAGATATGTTTCTTATAAGAGAATCAAAAGTAATTACCTCTAATGTTATTCACTGCCATTTAAATGAGGGGCTGGAATATGAATTGTGCCATTCATTGAGAGAAGACAGCCTAATATTTATTCATGTTTGTCTTCTGAAAGTTTTGGCTCAAGAAATGAATACAGAGCAGCTCAGATTATTCCTTTCACCTCTCATGTTTAATGCCCTGTCAACCTAGGTGCAATTTAGCTGATGACACGCTAGCAGATTCAACTCATATCCAACCATTTGCACATTACCCAAATGTTGTTTTTAAAAATGCAGTGTACAAATATTATTCTAGTAGTCTTGTACATCACTGTTGTGTTGAACCACTATGTGCTACTATATTTTGCGGTGCCAGATGAGAAAACTACCAGCTTTTCCAAGTAATAGTGTCATTCCTCTGAAGCTTTGCTGATATTTCGATTTATAAGCGATTTTTAATGCTTTGATTCTTGTTTCACCAGTTCAAATGTTGTGGGGGAACCGACTTCACAGACTGGCAGGTGAACATGTATCATAACTGCTCTGCTCCTGGTCCGCTAGCGTGTGCAGTGCCTTACACCTGTTGTCTGAGCAAGGTTTGTCTATAAATATTTTTTTAATTTGTCTTGCTGTGTGAACATACACACACACACACACACACGTTTGTTTTTGTGAATTGTGGGGACATTCCATAGGCGTAATGGTTTTTATACTGTACAAACTGTATGTGCTATTGCCCTACACCAGGGGTAGGCAAGTTCGGTCCTAGAGAGCCGCAGTCCTGCAGAGTTCAGCTCCAACCCTAATCAAACACACCTGAACAATGATGGGGACATGAAAATGTTCTGCTTAACAGGAATGACTGATCTGCAAGAGTTTAGTTACACCATGTGCCGAAACAGCAGCTATTTTGTTAGTTTCTTGCACATTTATGTTCTTGTCATTCTCAACACAAGCCAGAGCTTGAAACCCAGCTTGAAATGACATTTTCTTGAATATTAAAAGAGCCCATTTTTGGAGTTGCATAGGACAGTTAAAAATGGGTCCTCTTAAGTGCAATACTAAAGCAGGTCTTACAGTCAAAAATGACATTCATTTTTCATTAGTTTTTGAAAAGGCACAGAGCCTGTTTGCCAACATCCAGCTGTGTGCAGATTACCTGTGGACAAGTATTACCTCATCAGTCCCTCAGTCTAAGACAAAGCAATGCTGATTTCTATATATGAAGATTACATCAGAATGTTTTGTCTGAAATCGAATATCAGAATCTTATCTAAGGACATTGCATTAATGCCAATAATGGAGATCAGTTCTAAACCTGATTACAAGATATAAAATGTTACATCACTTAACATGGCTAAATATAAGAAGTAATAAATTGTAGAATATTTTGGCAGATGCATTTTCCAAAATAAATAAATAAATAAAAATAAAACAGTGCAAATGCAAATATATTCAACAAACAATGCAGTTTTTTAATTGATATCAAAAAGTTAATCAAAACATTTGATTCTCTCTTAATATATGTACTGCTAACCATTTAACAAACCAAATAAAAGACAGCAATAATCTCTTATTTGGTATATTTTTTCTAAGTGATGAAGTATTATCTTAAGGCATGGTGTCTACAATGTCTATCACAGCCATTTTGACTGAATTTCTTCAAGGTGCCTAAGTTGCAACAATGTGTGCTTATTGTATTAGATACACTTGTTGCAAATGAAACTAGATATTGATAACTTATCTGCCTTTTTGTTTGTGAACCTCATATAAAATACAAAATCACATATTGTTTAAAAGAATATTTAGCTTAATTTAACCCAGATTTTTACATTGCCTTGAGCTAAATTTGTTGAGCTTAAAGGATTTGAATTCTCAGTACACTTAACAGTTTGTATTTTTGGGTGTGTCTTCCAAATGTAAATTGTTCCTGCCATCGACAAACATATTACATTGGAAACTCTATATGGAACCTTTTTAAAGAGGTCATGCCACACTGATTTAAAGAGATATTCACCCCCAAATTAAAATTGCCATCATTTGCTCACCCCCATATAGTTCCAAACCCATAAGACTTTTGTTCATCTTTGAATCACAAATGATAATAGTTTTAATGAAATCTGATTTCTGTCCCTCCATTGAAAGTTCATGCAACCAAAAATTTGACGCATCGAAAAGTTCATAAAGAGATCAGGAAATAAACCCACACGAATCAAGCAGCTCAAGCCAAATCTTCTGAAGAGACACCATCACTTTATATGATGAACAGATTTAATTTCAGCTTCTATTTACTTATAAACATTGATCAACGCACATACATAGAGCATATTGACTGAAGTTTCTTGGACATTCAGTGGAGGGATAGAAATCATTTCATTAAAAATATCTTCATCTGGGTTTCAAAGATGAACCAACATCTTATGGATTTGGAACGACATTAAGATGAGTAAAAGGCAGAATTGAATTTTTTGAGTGAATTAAAAGTAATCAAAATGTGTACAGTTACTCACAGAATGATATTAGCTTCATTCAGAAAGCTTAGTAGTCTTAGCACTGCATTAGTTTAAGACTAAAACCTCTGTAACTTAGAATGACAAAAAGAGGATCGAAACCTGTTATGTAGAGAGTAGGCTAGTTATTAATCCGCACAAAGTGTAATTTCATACGTATGATCCAGCAGGTTGGGAAAGTTAAATGTCCTTTTCCCAGAGGTTTTGCTGTTTGCCAAATCAACACTTTAACACAATCTCACAGTTGATGAGAGAAATACAAGATAAAAAAGCTTAACTACTATATGCTTTTAGCTGTTTTACCTGTATGAAAATATTAAGACAAACATTTCCTTGTGTATTACAGCCTTCTGAAGTTGTTAATACAATGTGTGGACACAAGGCCCTGGAGAAAGAGGTATGTGCCCTGATCACCTCTCTTTCTGACTATATTTTGTTACATTAGATCCACTTTCGTGAACAAAGGAATTTAAAGTAGCTTATAAGTGCATTCTGATATTTGAAAAGTGCTCTGTGTCCTGTGTCGATCCACCTGGTATAAATACAGTAATTTGGAGGGGTCAAAGGTCTGATCATCTTGAGAAGAGCAATGAGAACCTCCTTTGAATTTTAACAAGCTGTGAGGATATGCAGCACCACAGATGAATGATGAGCTGCCTTATAACAACATCCAGTTATCTCTCAATACATTTTCAATTAATGACTTTATAACACTGTTTGTTAATGAGACATGCAGTGATGGCAATTCATTTCTATTGCCTGAACTTTGCCCGCAGAGGCTAGAAAATATAGATGTGATCTACACCCGTGGTTGCACGAATGCCGTCTTCATTTGGTTCATGGACGACTATAAAATCATGGCTGGACTTCTTCTGGGCATCTTAGTTCCTCAGGTAAGACTCATGCTTAGCAGTGAAGAAGGTTCAGATTGTCTGCATAAGTCTTTTTAATTATCAAATGACATAATGTTGACATAAAACACACATGCTCTTATCACTTTTAATTAAAAGTCTATAAGCTTGCCAAGAACAAAAATTATAAAACCGTTTCAAAGTCTTTGAATTGTTAAGAGATGAGGCAGCAAATATTGCAATTTTATATGGTTTTCACAAGGGTGTTGGGTTTGTAGGGGGAAAAAAATCTAAAGAAAAATGTCACACTCAGACATAAAGTGTCATTTTGCATTGAACGTCACAAAATCAGTAGTACCCCAGCACTTAATTTTTCTTACTCATTCTCAGAAAAGAATAATTCAAACAAAATTCTATTTAATTTTCACTCAATCCTGTTCTCTTTCTGTGCCTAATTAAAATAAATAATATACTACTACTACTAATAATAATTATTTGTATTATCGTTATTTCATTTCAAAAATTACATTCAAATTAAAAGCATAACTAAAAAAAAAAAATGTGGCCAAGTATGGTGACCCATACTCGGACTTAGCGCTCTGCATTTATCCCATCCAAAGTGCACACACACAGCAGTGAACACACACACACCGTGAACACACACCCGGAGCAGTGGGCAGCCATTTTTGCTGTGGCGCTCGGGGAGCAGTTGGGGGTTCGGTGCCTTGCTCAAGGGTACCTCAGTCGTGGTATTGAAGGTGGGAGAGAGCGCTGTACATTCACTCCCCCCACCTACAATCCCTGCCAGTACAAGACTCAAACCCGCAACCTTTGGGTTACGAGTCCGACTCTCTAACCATTAGGCCACGACTTCCCCATGAACTATGAATTAATCTCAAAAAGTTTTTTGGAAACCCTAATATTCATATTCATTTATTTACTTTGAAAAACTTACCAAATCAAAAAATGCCAAAAAAATTTCTCCTCAAAAGACCAAGAAGTTGACTTTATGGGGATATTTCATCTTGTCTTTATTCAGGTTTAAATTCAGTGTAATTAAGAACCCTTTTATGAAATATCTCTTCATTAAGTGTTTTCCACTCTGATTAAGAGGTGGGCGGTGAGAGAGGCATGGTTTGAATGAATTTAAATATTTCTCAAAAGAGTACCATGAGTAGACAGGTTTTCAACAAATTAGCAGTGTGAAAATCTGATTCACTTTCAAAAGCAGCCTCTAATGTGCAGCTGATTCTGTATGCCCCCACTTTAACCAGTGTTAAAGAGGTGCCTTGATGCACTGAAAAACACCACTGCACAGTCACAGGTGTAGGTTATCATAATCACATAGATTTTGAATCCATTTTGTAGTAATTTCAATAATGCTGCAACTTCAATAATAACCCAGCAACACACAGAAAGCACATGTACACCAAATGTAATTTAATTCTGTCTGATAAAGGCTGCAGTACATTGGAGGTTCTGGGAACAGGGATAAGTTTCTGTTAGGTCAGACAGTCCCTATCTGTAGGCTGTTTCACAGGAAATGATGCCAGATGATGTAGAGCTTTATCTGCGATAAGCACAGGTATTGTTGAGATAGACATTAATATAACATTGCCAGCAATGACTTCAACATTCACATAATATTGGATTATAATGTTTCCATCTGAACGTTTTTCAGTCTGATGTTTGTGCGCGTGTGTGCAAATATGTTTATGCGAGTGGGAAGGAGCGGTGGGACTTTTTTTTTTGCAATAAAATTCTTGAAACCAAACCGCTTTTATAATTAGTTTCATAGTTTTTCTGTAAATGACGATTCACAGTTGGGCAAAGTCATTAGTCAGTCTGCCCACACTGTGAACCATCTCAGTTGTTTATTACAAGATTTATATTACTGACTAAATTGTATAGCTGCAGTATGAAGTGTGCAGATTAAAGAGAAAGTTCACACAAAAATGAAAATTAAATCATCATTTACTCACCCTTGTGTTGTTCTAATGCCGTATGCCTTTCTTTATTTTTCAGACCACAAAAGGAGAAATGTAAAGAAATGTCCCTCTTGTGCTTGTCCGTACAATGGCAGTGAATAGCGTCCAGCATCAAGCTTTTAAAAAAGATGCAAAAGTATCACAGAATGGTCTGATGCAACACGTCAACTCACCCAGGAAAAGTACACAAGTTGTGAGAAATCAAGATGAATAAAAATGTGACATGGTAAAAACAATGCCTAGAAATAAATTTAAAAAAAGGTATCTTTGTACTTTCTTAACGGAGTTGGATATCTCCAGACTGGAACTCTGATTGTCATGAGTCAGACTGACAGTTGACAGATGTGAACAAAATAACTTGTTTTTATTCATCTTGATTGTGTGCTTTTTCTGAGTGAGTCGTAGTGAACTGCTGCACTAATAGAGTCTCATGAATGTGACGGCCAAGGTCAGGATTTTCATTAAATACATTAAATTTCAGTTTGTTTTTCACCAAACCCTATTGTGTAGATTCATTATTTCATCTGTCAGCGGAAAATGGGTCATTTCTTGTCAAAATTTACCGATACTAGGACTGACCTTCTGTCTCAGGATCTTTCTACTAAATCAGACCTGAAGCAGTACACTAAATATGCCACACATTTCCATCATGTCGACAGAGTCAGAATGCCTTTATGTTTTACACAGCTTAGTTCTGCTAAATGTTTGGAAGATTGGCACCCTGTCAGTCTCAGGTAATGAAATTCAAGGTTTCTTTTTTCCAGTGCAAACAGTGCTCTTCACATATGTGAACTTATACTGTAAAAGTCTATGAAAACGGCTGCTACATTGATCATAATAAGAGTGCTGTCTCTTTTGTTTGTACATTGTGTCTAAGATGAGTGAGATAATAAATCCTGACTATAAACATTGCCACACTTAAAAGCTGTGTAAATCCAATCCTTTAGTTGACCATATTTGCTGTAAAACTTTTTTTTAATTATTTGATAATTGTTTTACTTCAGATTGAGTCTTTACCTGAAACGGGGGTTGTTCTTAATTTTAATAAAATACTGCTCATTATGAGCTGATTATTTTGTAATCTGTGAATCTGGGAGTTTTAATGTCCATCATTTACATGATGTGCTTCTCATGATTTTTTTATTTTGTCTAGATTCTTTTTCAAACTCAACATATTTCTTTCAAAGCTGAATGTGTACATATATATATTTATACAATTTAAACTGTTTTACCTTCGTTTTTTGCCAAAGAGTGATGGTTTTTATATTCTCCTCTATTCTGTTGTCTGCTGTATTTTTTTTTTTGTGTGTGTATGAACATAAAAACAATCTAAGTAAACTGCATATCTTGACCTTTTTTATATTAAGTACATAAGATGTTTGTGTCTTGTCATTAAATGACAGGGGAATCATCTAATGGCATATTTATTTAAAGTTTGCTACAGTTTATTATGTAAAATGCACAAAATATTGCATTCGTACAATGTCATTATTCACTGAAAGATAATTGCAAACAAACAAGTTGAAGTGAATAATAATATTAAGCCTTAACATTTTCTATTCTATTTCTATTTTTTTTTCTTGGTCCATCTTTGGATTTTTCTGCTGTATGTGATTTCTATGACTATGTATTGACCTGACTGGTAAATCTTGAGTATTGCCCCTGAACACAGTGAGTGTCCTGCTGAATGAATGAATGAATAAATGATGATTACAGAGCTGTGTTCTGCTGCTTCAGTGGATGTTCTCATCTGTTCTCTGTCATGCTGCTTTTTGTGTTTGCAGGGGGACTGCGTCACTCTGAATATTGCTAGACATGGACTGGTATCATCTGGTATAACAAATATGTGGCAGTCTGTGTTTTATCTACTTGTTTGTTCAATTTCCTCCATCTATTTTAAAAAGTGCAGCTTTGGGCAAAGCTTAGAAAAAAATATGATCACATTTGTTTGTTTTCTCTAATAACTAGTTGCACAGATTCTGATATTTGAGTTTCTCTTTAATGCTTGTGGTTGGGCATCCTTTCTTTTTCATAACTTTTACAAATATGAAAAGGAGGATCAGTTTGGTCTTTAAAAGAGATTCCATGCCCATAAATAAAATGAAATATGTATTTTAGCTCCTATTCATATAGTCATTTAGATTACAGCTTCCTCAGTAATTTCTCCCCATTTTGCTTAATAGGCTAGAAAATCAAGATGAGCTCTTTACTGGTTTTACCATAAAAAGTATTTTTAAAGTAAATGTTTCTGAATGTCAAAATAGGAAGAAATCGAATAGGTTTTTGCGGTCATCTCAACACTGCACCTTATAAAATATGTGTCTTGATTTTTAGTTTGTGAAAAGGACTGCTGTTGCTGCGATCACAAGCCATTGTAGGACAAGTTCTGATCTGATCATTATGAGGAGGTACATTAAAATCGGTCACACTTGCATAAGTTTCATTTAAAAAAAGTGCATTTTGATAAGTAGCTTCTATTGCATGTGAATGAAACTTATAAGTTCTCCTATGGAGTGAAAAGAGGCTTTTAGAAAAGGTAGTGGAAAACACTTGACCACAGCCTGGGAACTCAAAGGTTCATATTTCTTTTATAGTGAGGGTGAAAGAGTAAAAAAAAACCTTTTATGAAGTCATCCAGGAGGTGAGTGGTCTCCATATAGTGAAGGCATAAAAGGAATTTAAGTTTGTCATTCCATGTGTAATTTACCTGAATTTATAGTGCTGTCTTTATACACTGAAATGCAAAATATGAATCACTGTGACCTTATTATTATTGTTTTTATTTTATTATATTACATTTTATTTAAATTTATTAATGTTTTTTTCCTTTCTTCTCACACATAATTGGAAGATGATGGCAGAAACATGTCCAGGTCATTTATGTGCTGGTAAAATCTTCCAGAAGAACATTTCACCAATTGCCCTTTTTTAATAAGAACCTAATTTCATTTAGGACGGTCTTAACACATCCTTGGGGAAACCTACAATCAACGACTCTATATGCAATTGCTGGGGTTTATTGGGTTCTTGTTTTTCAAATGGTGTGCTATGCTAGAGTGCTTCATGCTTATAAAAAAAAAATAAAATCAAGACCTCTTCTCACCTCTTTGTGTCTGTCGGCTCATGGGAATGTTTATAGGAGGGATGCCAACCCAGCATCCAACTTCACATCAGTCATTAGATTGAAGACAACTTCTTATTAACAAGGAGCTCATCCGTCCTAAGCGCTCCCCTGCTGTTTACTATATAATTAAGCTTCCTCTCCAGGCTGGGGGAAATATGAATCAACCCCCTGAGTTTAATGGTGCTACCTCTACAAATCAAGCAGTTGTTTGCCATGCACCAATCCTGTGAGGTTTTGTATGTATATGATTTCCAGTCTTTAGTGGAGAGTGTTACAACGTGAGACCTTCTAAATGTGACCACAGACAACCACATCTGTCATTTTCATTAAGCTAGTAAATTGTGCCCTTTCATGCTGTACCCTAGGACATCCAAAAGCAAGCCATGCACTTGTGTTCATTTCAAGAATGCTTATACAGTGAAAAAGTAGGCCTTACCTGTTCAACTGAAATATTGTGGCAGCATTTGCTGATCACTTCATTATCACAAAATAATCTCCTTCAGGGTGACTGTCGACTATCCAACAGATGAGTGAATTGACCAAGATGAGCGACTGACAGAACCGAGGGTGTGATAGTTGCTCTTCTTGCATTCGTGTCTACCTGCTGATTCAGACATCACAACACAATGTTTGCACTCTCTTATAAGTCACTTGAGAACATGTCTGCCAAGATCATAAACAAGTACATGACCTAATTACGCTTGCTGGATGACATACGGACAGTGACCTTCTGTGCCTTAAGATCACAGCAGAAAATGAACCATTGATCATAAGTCAGTGGACAGCTGCGTCACACATTCTTATCTATGGTCAGCCACATGTTTATCGACAGACAGTGCAGTGGCTCAGAAAGATAAGAAGAAACAATTCTAAGGATAGTTTAAATAATACATTGTAGTTTAAACTAGATTTTTACATTTCTGAAGAAAACGGTGTAAGGAAAAGCAGTTTGTACATGAATAACCTGCAATCCCATTGCTAGAATCTTAGAATGGAGTAGCTGCCAGAGCACTGCTATTCTGTTGCTAAGATGTTCTAAACGGTTGCTAGGATGTTCATTGCTAAGTAAGTGGTTGCTCACTGGTCCAAATCAAAGGAGCCCAAATTTAAGATAATTTAGAGGCTATTTTATCATTTGTCAGTTAAAGTTGGGATGAAATGAAAATTCACCCTATCTATTTTCTAAATGCAGAATCTTGTTTCATCACGTTTCCTTATTTTTGTCATGCATGTATGAAATAAAAGTCTTTGCAATGGATCTTTATGATCATAAGTTTGAATTGTCTGAAGACCAAAAGACAATATGCATTACGATGCCAGCCCATGTTCTCCAGCAGGAGGTCTTTATTTATTTAATAAGCTGAGGTCTTTCCTCATTTGAGCGTGTTCTTTAAATAGACGAGATCATAATTACCTCTTTGGGCTCAGTTAATAATGAAGTAGATGAGGACTGTAGGTCTTGCCGTCTACACCCCTCACTGATCTAAAAGAGGCTTTCTTGGACTCATTTATCATGTCCTTCGGCAGACAAATTAAAGTATTACTCAATATCAGTATCTGCGCAGTGTGCACACAAATCATTTGAGATATACATTTCAGGCCATTGTCATAATAACTAAGATCAAAAATCAACACTGTGCTGTCTTACGTCTTGAACACACAATAAAATGTCTGTACTATAAGTTAACTGACCTTCCCCCTTTCCCTAAGGTTATAAATGTTACACCAGCCTGCCATCAAGTTGTGTGTGTACAAAAACTATCAATATTAAACAACAAGAACAAAAACATTGACTGTTTCACAGGAGCTTCATCGTGATGGTCGAGTGCCTCTCTGTGGCAAATACCGACTTCCCAAGGGTACGGAAACAGAGGGACAAAATATGCACTCATTATACTGATGTGAAAGATCAATGCTATTTATAACCAACCAAAATCCTTTAGCGAGAGTTGTCTGAAGGGAGTGCTGAGGAGCCAGCAGTTAATCAAATGTTGTTGCCTGGTTAAATGTCTGAAGAACCCTTCAAACTCAATCACGTGTGATTCACGGCATTACTGATGATTTTTAGTCCCGTGTCGGTGGCAA